CCGGGGGGGGGGGGGATAAATCTCATGGTTTGGATGTGTTGGAATGGGAGGAGGGGAGACATCATGACAGTAGTGGCGGTATGCTCCGTGAGGTTCATCCGTGAGGTTCGCAGGCACCATCACGGGTACCCCGGCACAGAGCATAACATCGCTCCGTCTCGGCTTCGCAGGGATGCGAGGTCAACATGTTGACTACTGTACTACGGCATGCGTCTACATGAGTGCACCCCCCCTCCCCCCCCCCCCCNAGAGAAACCGGCGTGCTCCGTCCGGGCTTCGTAGGGATGCGAAGTCAATCGTCTAACGACTACGGCATGCACGACTATGAGTACACCCCCCCTGCGCCTCTCGTCCTCTCTCACCGCGATCGCGGTGGTGCTCGTAGTCCGCGTGCACCGCCACGGCTGTGTGACGAGTGCGTACCCCGATGGGGTCTCCCTCCACCTTTGGGCGATGCCATTCCATAGTCAAGCAGTCCAGGACGCTCACTTGCGTCTGGGAGATTGCCTTCCACGTACAAAAAGAACGGGGGAAAAGAAACAAACGACGGGACGTGGGAAAGCGAGTAGGGCGGAATGAAGCCACGGAGTTCCTTCTTGTGTGAAACCCCAACAAATACAAGCGAGTAACTAGTCGGATTCGCCATGAAGGGGAGGTGGGAGGTACAAGTCAAGACCCGTGCGGGGGCGTCGTCGGAGGCTGAGCTATTCTCCCGATCATAGCCAGAACCGGTAGCAACAGAAGAAAACTGCACGTGTCTGCACGTGTCTATCAAGGCTGCTACCTTGCACCCGAATTCGCATTGGAGTGCTTTTGTGTGTGTATTTATCTCTCTCTCTCCCGTTCTCAGTCTCTCTCCGCCTGTCTGTCTCTGTCTGCCTCCCCCTCTCACGTTGATGTTTCTGGGGTTGGTGTTGCCTCCGCAGACCAGAAGATTCCGCGGAGCCCCCCACGGCGGCTCCAGCGCGGTGGTGCTGCGCTCACACGGCAGCAAGGACCAACCACACAGGCAGCAACGGAACGATGTGAGCGACAAGAAACAAGGAAAGAAAATTTTGAATCAAAGCTTATGGAATCGGAGTTTGAGCCACAGACGAAAAAAACAAAACCACCACCATCAACAGCAACAACAGCAGCAGCAGCAGCAGCAGCAGCAGAATCAGCAACAACAACAACAACACCAACACCAACACCAACACCAACACCAACACCAACACCAACACCAACACCAACACCAACACCAACACCAACACCAACACCAACACCAACACCAACACCAACACCAACACCAACACCAACACCAACACCAACACCAACACCAACACCAACACCAACACCAACACCAACACCAACACCAACACCAACACCAACACCAACACCAACACCAACACCAACACCAACACCAACACCAACACCAACACCAACACCAACACCAACACCAACACCAACACCAACACCAACACCAACACCAACACCAACACCAACACCAACACCAACACCAACACCAACACCAACACCAACACCAACACCAACACCAACACCAACACCAACACCAACACCAACACCAACACCAACACCAACACCAACACCAACACCAACACCAACACCAACACCAACACCAACACCAACACCAACACCAACACCAACACCAACACCAACACCAACACCAACACCAACACCAACACCAACACCAACACCAACACCAACACCAACACCAACACCAACACCAACACCAACACCAACACCAACACCAACACCAACACCAACACCAACACCAACACCAACACCAACACCAACACCAACACCAACACCAACACCAACACCAACACCAACACCAACACCAACACCAACACCAACACCAACACCAACACCAACACCAACACCAACACCAACACCAACACCAACACCAACACCAACACCAACACCAACACCAACACCAACACCAACACCAACACCAACACCAACACCAACACCAACACCAACACCAACACCAACACCAACACCAACACCAACACCAACACCAACACCAACACCAACACCAACACCAACACCAACACCAACACCAACACCAACACCAACACCAACACCAACACCAACACCAACACCAACACCAACACCAACACCAACACCAACACCAACACCAACACCAACACCAACACCAACACCAACACCAACACCAACACCAACACCAACACCAACACCAACACCAACACCAACACCAACACCAACACCAACACCAACACCAACACCAACACCAACACCAACACCAACACCAACACCAACACCAACACCAACACCAACACCAACACCAACACCAACACCAACACCAACACCAACACCAACACCAACACCAACACCAACACCAACACCAACACCAACACCAACACCAACACCAACACCAACACCAACACCAACACCAACACCAACACCAACACCAACACCAACACCAACACCAACACCAACACCAACACCAACACCAACACCAACACCAACACCAACACCAACACCAACACCAACACCAACACCAACACCAACACCAACACCAACACCAACACCAACACCAACACCAACACCAACACCAACACCAACACCAACACCAACACCAACACCAACACCAACACCAACACCAACACCAACACCAACAACAACAACAACAACAACAACAACAACAACAACAACAACAACAACAACAACAACAACAACAACAACAACAACAACAACAACAACAACAACAACAACAACAACAAACAGACGACGACGACGTAACCAACAAAAAAGCCCGCCACCCCCCGCTCGCGAGCGGCATGCAACTAACTACCTGCCACGAACCAAGAAAGAAAACAACCAGAGCTCTTCTACCACAACCAAGACAACAGACTTAACACAAAATCAAGAACGGAACCCCCCCCAAACAAACGAACGAAATAAAACAACAAAACAGAAGTAAAAAAAAAGAATGAACTAAAGCAACCAAACAGAAGAAATAAAACCGAACGAATTGAAACAACAAAACAGAAGCAAGTAAAGAAAGACGTGAAACGCACCTGTGATAGATGAGAGCCGAGGGAGCGTTCCCCCGGGTGTCGAGCTTCGACCACGTCCTCTCGATGGGGTCGTAGACCAGCACGTGGCGACAGGAGTGAAACTGACGGATGTTCCCGCCGCCGAGCACCATCATCCGGGACCCCAGAACGGCGGTTGCGGTGTGACCCGTCACCTGAGTGTTGAGTTGGTTGTGCCACGAAAAAAAAACACGATACACCGCACGCAAAAGGGTTGTGAAGAGATGCGTAAAAACACGCAGACGCACAACACGCAGCAAACATTGGTTGTACTTGAAAAGATGTGTGTCAACACACGCACACACGCAGACGCACACAGCTTAGCCTCCCCCATGATGCCCCACCTCATGGCCTTTATACAAGCATTTGCTCTTCCCCCGACGCACGGAGACTGACGCCTTTTCATTGGTCGGCCGGTTAGCCCTGGTGATGCTACTAAAAAAGAAAACACAAACACACATACAAAATGAACATGTTTGTGCAGAGGTGTGCGTCTTGAGATGAGACTACCGTATATGACACATGAAAACACACCCCGTGGACCGATTTTCAAAGCTCGATTACTCCACGACGAAGAGGATGAATAAACGAAACCATACATTTTCGAAAAGCTCTCGAAAAGACGGTTTCAACGCCGCCGTTTTCGGCGCTGTGGCTGTTCCTGCAGTTGAGAAATCGAGCTTCGAAAATTGGTCAAGGGGGTGTGTTATCTTGTGTCATATACGGTAGACAGCAACTGCAGGGAAGGTGGAAACTCGTTCGTGTCGTGATATTTTACATCAGGTTCTCGGAACAGCAGCAGGTTCAGGGTAGCAGGCACTAGTCTGATCGGCGACACGAACAACAGTTCACGAGAGAGATCAGCGGCAATTACCAAGTCGTTCTCTCAAGTGCCGAACTGCAACAAACAGAAATGAACCGCGCAGAAACACACGCACGTGTTGTTGTTGTTGTTGTTGTCGTTGTTGTCGTCGCCTTCACATGAATAACCGTTCCGATCTCTCTGCCCAGTAGCTCTACGACAGGTTGTAAATAAGCATGCGTACTACGCCGCAGCCCCCCCCCCCCGCCATTTTGCTCCGTCCTCTCGAGGACGCGTGGTCGATGGTCTAACCGCTGAGGCATGCAAAACATTAGTACCCCCCCCCCCCCCCCCCCCCCCCCCCCCCCCCCCCCCCCCCCCCCCCCCCCCCCCCCCCCCCCCCCCCNCCGCGTCCCCCCCCCCCCCCCCCCCCCCCCCCGGCGGGGGCTCCGCCCCGGCCCAACTAACTCACCGTCGGCACGATGCGTTTTCTGACGATAGCCGGGAGTTTTCCTCCTCCATGGTAAGGGTCCATCCAGCCACCCTCATAGTCACCATCGTCATCGTCATCGTCATCGTCATCGTCGTCAACGCTCAGCGACTCCCCGTCGCTCGAGGGCTCGTCGTCGTCCACGTCCACCTTTGGCGTGGCACATGGAGGCAGAGATATCATCAAAACATGGATGCCAAACAAAAGTCAAGACAGTAAGCACGCCACGTCACTCGATAGCTCGTCATCTTCTACATCGACCTTTCATCGTGTGGTACCACAGGGAAACGTCAAAACCCGAAGAAACGTAGAAAGGAACAAGGACTTACATCGGTTATTTGATACTTCGAAGTCGTTTGCTGTTAGTAGGGAGTCGGAAGCGAAGGAACAAGTAACAAAAAAAAAGAAGTATGCAATGGTGTTGTCTTCAAAATGAAAAAAAACGTTCCGGCAACAAATCTGTTAATAATTCATTTACTCGCTGTTAATAGGGAGCCGAAAAATACAGGGAACAAAACACGAACGCGAAAAGAAAGTAGGATGGGATAGGATGGGATAGGATGGGATAGGATGGGATAGGATGGGATAGGATGGGAAGGACGTCGGTGCTGATGTTGTGGGGTTTCATGCAGAGAGAGCGTCGTGTCAAACCACGGATGTAAAAAAAACAAGACAACAAGTGCGGTGCTCTTGTCGTGGGGGTATACATGGAACGTAGTATTTGAGTTACAAAGAAGAGCAGAGTGGAGGTGAAGGTAGGCCCAACAAGTCCAGCCACAAGAAACTACAGCATGGGACTAGAGTAGAGCGGGGCAAAGGAGAGCACGATTTGTGATATACCTGATACTGATGGGCTACTTAGTCCAACGGAATGCTGTGTTGGTAGACTTCAGGCGGGGTTGTTTTCTGGCTGTTACCACGTACCTCTTCGTCGATGAAACCGTCGTAGTCCTCGTCCCCTTCAGCAGCCTCGCCCTCGTTGTTGCCACCACCACCGTTGTTGTCTGCTGCCTCCACAAAGCCCTCCTCCTCCTCCATCAGCATCCCGAGATCATCATCATCATCATCGTCATCATCGTCCTCCGTGGGATCCAAGCCATGGAAGGCGTTCTGCGGTCCGTTCGTAGCCCCCGCCGCCGCGCCCCCTTGCCCAGCCCCAGCACTATTCCTCAGAACGGCGCCGGTGCTGCTGCCGGCACCAGCCTGACCGCTCGGGTTCAGCGGCGGCGACGGGACTGTCATCGTGTCGGTGGTTGCGGTCATCCACGACGGTGCTATCGGTGCTGCTATCGGGTTGGGGTCGCCGTGTAGTGCGTAAACGCGACGTCTCCGCTGCTCGTCCACCTGGGGGGGCAAGACCGAGGAGTGAGATTTGAGACCGACAGACATTTTGATGGTTTTCAGGAGGCGTGTGTGGCGGCGGCGGTGGCGTTTTTTTTTTTTTTCGGCGACAGCAATGTTCAACCCTACATCCTCGCCAAGGCTACTGGCGACATACCTTATGCAACCTACGAGTAATCAGCGAAGGCTGTTGGCGATCTATTTAATGCAACCTACCGGTAATCAGCACAGCGCTGGACCGACCAACTGACTCCACGCTTAACTTGGCCCTTGGCGGGTATCAAGGGTGTCCGTGTGGTACATCCGAGGGACCTCTCTAGTGTCGGTTGAGTAGTACCAACTGCTGGTATGTAGCGCTGGTAAAATCGGCTCACACACGCTCGTTCTGTACTGTGAACGGTAGTGCCGATGCCCGGTATTGTTACTGTCCTCACATTAAAACCGTTCGCTTCTCTCTGCCCAGTACCTTCTTCTGTCCGTACTAGTCTAACACTTGACGGGGTCGATTCCCGTGGTCACAGGCTAAATTACCCATCAAAAGTTATACGAAAATACAATGGACCCGGACCCGAAGGGTCCGCAAGCCAATAGAAGTCAACGACAGAGTCTAGGCCGCTCGCGTCTACACGCTATGCGAGGTAACCCTAGATTGGAAAAAAGAAAGAAAAAAAAAAGAGAGGAAAAGAAAAGGGAAAAGAAGAGAGCAGATATGTGGGGAGAAGCATAGTGCCGGTAGAATCTCTGGACACATGCCCGCACTACAGAGTCCCTCGACTGTACCATATCCTAAGGAACAAACGGTAATCGGCATAGCACTGGACCCATCAACTGACTCCACACTCACCTTAGCCTGAATCGAGGGGGGCAGGCACCCTTCCCCGTGTAGCTCGAGAACCGGATGTAGGTGAGTGCCGAGGAAGTGTAAGCAGTAGCTGAGGAGCTGCTCCGTCCCTTGCCTCAGGGCAACGGATGCCACCAACAGTACCTGAGAGTTCGAGAAAACAAAACGAGAGATGAAGGCATTCGGTGGTTATGGGCCAAAGGGGGCACGACAAGAGAACAGCAACAGCAATAGCAGCAGCATCAGCAACAGCAACAGCAACAGCATCAGCAACAGCATCAACAACAATGACGACGACAACGACAACACCTAATCATCATCAACAACAACAACAACGTCAACCACAACACCAACGACACGGCAGAGCAAGGCGAAGCTCACTCACCGTGGTCGTGTTGACAAGCTGGCGACACTCCCACTCCACGAGGCTCCTCAGGCGATGCAACCCCAGGGCCCCCGCCGCCTCTAGTACCTTCTCATACAAGGCCACCTGAGGGGTTGCAGACAAACAAGCCAGCGGGAGGGCGGTTACCGCCATCTGAAAACAGCAGTCCAAAACAAAATTACCCCGCACGAGAACGCAGCAGATTATCCTTGTGCTGCTTGCAGCCTCGGAGAGAATCCACACATTCGTTTCGAAGTGTTGGCGACAAGCAAAGGACGGTCTATTGTCTTGGCCCACGCCAAACGCGTGGAGCTTCTTTTGACAGTCACCGCTACGCCTGTCGAACCTCTACCAACGGATTGCCACAAATAAAAAGCAAGAGGTTTGTCGGAAAACTTTCAACGAGACCGTTCCAACGTCACCTGTTTGTGCCACAGAGTAATCGATCCGGGCTTTGAAACCGGTACGGGGCGGTGGTATCTTACGCAACCTACAGCAGTGTTATCGCCCGGCAGCAGAAAAAGGCGGCAAAAAACAGACAAATAAAAGCATGAACTGATTCGTACAGCATGAAGAACAGGAGACAAGAAACAAACAAAAAAAACTTCCATCGTCAAGACACAAAACATCATCTACATCACCTTGTTTCTCGTCATAGCCCCTTCCCCGCAAGAACCCCTCTCCCCCCCGCCGCCGAGCCCGACTCCCTCACGGTCTCCACCCTCCATTGGCGTCGACGACCGGCAACCACCCACTGCCTCCGCCCCCCCTCCTCCCCCGCTACAGCCCCCCCCGACCTCCGGCTCCGACGCTCCTCCTCCGCTAGAGCAACCCCCCCCGGGGTCAACGTACTCCTTCGCGCACCCGTCGCGGAGATTATCCGGGTAGGCCTCGAGCCTGTCGGTGTAGAGGTAGGCCAGGATAACGGGCACGATGTCCGGCGACACGGCCCGCGGGAGGCAGACGCACGTCGTCGTTACCGCCGCCTCGGGGTCCTCTCTTTCTCCTCCTTCGGCATCCTTCTTTGTAGCACTAGCCTCCTGCGAAGAAAACGCGCCTCCGTTACCGCCGCCGCCGCCACCGCCGCCGCTGTCGCTACCCTTGCCGTTACAGTCGTTGCCTTCTTCGGAGCGGATGGTAAGCCGGAGGCTCGCCGAGCCTGTGAAGCACGGGGGTGCAGTTTTTGGTCGCCATGGCTTTATAATGAAACGAGGCACGATCTTCCCTACCAGGGCCGGG